GAGTCATGTACGTAATGATGTATACACAGTGGGCACCTGTGACGAGCGGGGTACCCACAGGGGGTCGGTCCTAGGACCAGTGCTATTTTTTGGTATATGTGAATCGACAATGACGGAAGGTTAGACTCAGAAGGTGTCCCCTGTTAGCAGATGATGTGAAGGTTCAAGAGAAATTAAATCTGATGAGGACACAGGCAGACTTCCAAAGAGACTCTGGACAGACTGGACACCTGGTCCAGCAATGGCTTCTCGAATTTAAAATCCAGATCCAAATGCAAAGTCATTGGAATAGATGGGGGAGGGGCACAGAAGACCACAGACAGAGTATAGGCTGAGGTGGCCAAAGACTGCAAACCGTCACTCAAGGAGAAACGATCTTGGGTGAGAATAACACCGAGCAATGTCTCGAGGAAAGCACACATCAATCCAGATAACTGCTTCAGCATATGGTGCGCCTGGCAAACCTGAAACTCAAGCATTTCCGATACCGGTTAGAAGGAATCATTCAAGACACTTTAACACCGAGTATGTCAGGCCCAACTGGAGTATGGCAGGGCACCTGTTTGGGAACCCGCCACTTGATTAAAGCACGTCAAGAAACTAGAGAAAGTACAAAGGTTTGCGACAAGGGTTAGTTCCAGAGCTAAGGAGGAATGTACTAATGAAGAAAGATTAAGGGAAATCATCGGCCTGACCACACAGGATTACAGGAGGGTCAGGGAGACATGAATAACGACATATAAAATACTGCGTGGAATAGACAAAGGTGGCAAAAGACAGGAGTTCCAGGGAGGGGACACAGAAACAAGAGCCAACAATTGAAGTTGAAGACACAAATGAAGTCAGAAAAGATAGAAGGAAAGTATTATCTTTCAGTCCATATAAGTTTGTACGGCAGTGGAATACCTAGAAAATGACGTAGTGGAGCAGGAACATAACACAGTTTTAAGACGAGGGGTTTGATAAAGCTCATGGAGCGGGGAGAGAGCGAGGGCCTAGTTAGCCAACGCGGTGAAGAGGTGCGGGGCCAGGAGCTAGGACTCGACCCCGTGCAAACCACAAATAAGGTAGTACAAATAGGTGATACACACACACAAACACAGGTATAACACACAACAAACACACAACGACTAGACACACACACACACACACCAGCAACAACCACAAACACACACACACTACAAAAACAACACACACACACACCACACACAATATTAATTTCCGCGGAAACTCACAGATTTCTTCTGGTCAAACATAAAAATTTTTTAAAAGGTGGACCTTTTAGGAATTTTCAATGGTTTTTGGCTTGTAGATGCCGTTCCCAAATTTTTTCGAAAAAATTTGTAATACTATTTACCTTTTAAAAAATATTTAATGAGGTGGAAAGGTTTCATGTTTTGTGTAAATTGGAACCTTAAGACACATTTTTGTTAAGCTCACCCAGGAATAACGGGCAAGTGTTTTACTACTGAACGTGTAAGAACAATCTTCCAAGTACCAAACGAAGCTAAAACTTCGAGTGGTTTTAGAATGCACTGGACAAATATATGATGAAAGAGCGGGGTTTAGTTAGTACTTGAGTATTGAAAAAAATGCCTGCGTAGTTTTGGGGGAAAAGGGTTAAAAAATGGGCGAGGGGAAAATGATTGGTTTAAAAAGACCTCCCTTTTGTTGGGCCCCAGTAGGCCGCTGCAAGTCCAAAATTTCTTATTTTTTCCGGAAGTAAAATTTTGTATCCCGCTTAAACTCCGCTACATTTCTATTTGGATCGACTCTACCTGCTGTTCGTGTTTAAAATTAATAAGTTTGTGAGTTTTTTTTTATTTTGGGGTTTCCCCGGGAAGTCTGATAACCCTTTTTTTCTTTCTCACGACTTTTTGCTGAAGTTTAAATACCTGTCTCACCTGATTTATAAACAACAAAACGCTGGGGGGTAATAATGTTAATTTCAGAATATACCCCCTTTTGTGGTGTTGTTTGTGTGTGTGTACTCACCCGTTGGGGTTGCGGGGGTCGAGTCCTAGCCCCGGGCCCCCGTGTGTGTGTGTGTTTTGTGTGTTTTTTGTGCAGCGGGGTGTGTGTCTGTGCGTGTGTATGTGTTTGGGTGGCGTGTATGTGTGTGGTGTGTGTGTGTGTTTTGTGTGTTACTCACCTATTTACCCCCTAGTTGAGTTGCGGGGGCGAGTCGAGCCCCGGGCCCCCCGCCTCTTCACTGATCGCTACTAGGCCCCATTTCCCCCGAGCCGTGAGCTTTATCATACCTCGCTTAAAGCTTGTATGGTTCCTGCCTCCATACATCGCTTCCCAAAATTTTTCCACTTATGATACTCTGTGACTGAAGAATATTCCAAAAATCCCTGGATTCATCTTGTTTTCAATTTCCAACTGTGCCCCCTTTTTTATGTGTCCAATTCGGGAACATCCTGTTTTTGTCCACCTTGTAAAATTCTCTAAATTTTTATGTCGTTTTTCATGTCCCCCCCACTCTCCTGTCCTCCAGTGTCGTCGGTTGTTTCCCATAACCTCTCTCTCGGGACATACCCCCCTTACTCGGGGACTATCTTGTTGCAAAACCTTTTTGCACTTTCTTAGTTTTTTTTAGTGTTTGGGTAGGTGGGGGTTCCAAACTGATCCCGCGTGGTGTGCGTGGTGTGTGTGTGTGTGTGTGTGTGGTGTGTGTGGTTGTGGGTGTGTGTGTGTGTGTTGGGTGGGTGTGTGTGGGTGTGTGTGGGTGTTTTGTTGTATGTGTGGGTGGGTTTATACTAATATAAAAAATATATAAAAAAATGTTTATGTATAGGGTGTATATATAATATATTTTTTTTTATATATATATATATATTATTTTAAAATTTAAATATATTTATATATATATATATATATATATATTTTATATAAAAAAACAAGCGAAAATTTGTTTTGCAAAAATTTTCTTAAAAAATCTTTCTGAATAACGAAAAAAAATTTTTTTATTGTGTTTGTTTAGTATTAAATTATTGTAAACGTACTAAAATTTATTTAATTGGACTGGGCAAAAAAAGGGTTAGGTAAGTTTTCTAAATTGTTTTGGGTTTTAAATTATAAATTTTTCTTTAAACTTTTAAATAAAAAAAAATATATTTTAAAAAACGTTAAGAAAAAATTTTAGAAAAGACTTAATTTTAAATGATTTCTTGCTAATTGACCATTTTACCTATTAGGCAGACATATAGCCCGGGGGATCGAACTCGTTTGTTTTAGCCCACACCATGTATGTCCTGCAAAAACATGAAGCAAGCCTAGTTCGCTAGGCTCAGGGTTTTTTGTGGATTGTATGGTCCCCGTGGTTACAGCGTCGTGAATTTTTAAATTGTTTCTCCGAGACGGGCTAAAAAAACATGGGTTCGATCCCCCCGGGTAGCGGTGTTTATTGATTAAATACCATTTTTCGTAGTTACAGTTACTTTTTATAAATATATTATTAAATATTTTTATTTTATATATATATATATTAAATATTTAAAATTATATATATATATAAACAAGTCGGCCGTTTCCCCCCGGGCGGGGACCCCCAAAAAAAAAGAAAATCCCCAAAAAAAAAATCTTTCTTTATTCAACACTTTTACCTCTTTACATTAATCATGTTTTTGCAGGGTGCCCAGAATACAAAAATTTAGAAGTTTATACGCATAAAGATACACAAAAATATCCTCCAAACTGCCAAAATTCCCCAACCCCCCCTTTAAAATGCAGAATTTACTTCCCTTTCCAGGACTCAAGCCGGTTTTAAAAAGTAATGATGCCCGTTCTCATACTGAATGTAAACTTTGGAAACTTGAGAGGCCACGGCGAAACGTTTAAAAAGGGTACGTGTTCTGCCCTTTTTGTCTTTATCCATCTTTGTACTATGTAAAATGTAAACGTTTTGTAATAATCAGGCTTTTTTTGAGGATTCGAATTTCTAGGCGTCAAGTTAGACATAAGCCTTACCAATGAGTCACCACTTTAATAAGATCTTCCACACCCCTCTACTTGAGAGGCCGCTGGGTCCCCAGTTCGTGGCAGATTATGTGACTCACATGACTGGTAGTACCCCAAAGCTACTTTTACTGTTTTTAAAATAAAGGTTTGTTTAGATTTTTTAACCCCCCCGGGGGGTTTTTCCCAGGATAACCCCAAGAAAGTCAGTGGTCATCAGGACTGTCGTCTTTTTAGATTAGGGTCCCCAAAACTTGTTCCCCAGAAAGCAACCCCCCACCAGATAACCCCAGGGACCAATTTTCTAGGTGAACAGGGACAGAGGGGGAAGGAAACATGCCCCCATTTCCACCCCTGTCGGTTTGAACCTCGGACACTCAGGTGAGGCAGAGCGTTGCCCCAACAAGCCACGGTGCACTGGTGATTTAATGGATCGTGAGTCTTTTTAGGTTTGTTGTTGCTCGAAAATGTTTTGAGTCGTTTTGGAAATCCCTGTTAATCTTCAGGACACTGGTGGTCATACCCTGGCGTAAGGCTCGAGCCGCTGAGTCTTGCGCCCCCCTCTCCGCTTTGAAACCGACAGTTTTTGCTACATTCTAGCGATTCTTAATTGTTATCTCTGCCTACAAGGGGCCGGGAGAAGAATAAGCAGGTAACAGAACAGCTTTATTGACACCTTCAGTTATATCTCCAAGGACACAGGTAAAGCTCGACTGAACGAAATAAATACATCAGTGTGGTAAATATTTTTTTTTGAAGAAAAAAGTTTCGCCCCTGAAGGTTTCTTTTGGTGGCGAGTGCCCCGGTTAAATGCAATCCAACAATTATCGGTATTTTTTCCAACTCATTTTGCGAGGTTTTGACTAAATTAACCTGCCCAGACTGGGCAGGAGCCACCCAAATTCGTCCTTCGTTATTAGTAAATTTTTAATAAATTTAGTGTTGGAAGATCCCAAAAAGTGGAATACAAAACCCGTCAAACTACTTTTAACAAAACTCAGTACTGACCACCCAAAGCTGATAATATTTCTTAAAAAGTCAAACCCACGAAAAATAAAAGACATGATATATATTTCTCTTAAACAAACGACAGTAAAATGCTTAAGAAGAATAGATAGTTGCCAGGCAATTAGCTATCAGAATAGAAGCTAAGATTTTGACAAGCTAGACTGTCATGGAAAGTTTCTCATTGAGTGACAGTAAAACGGTGAGTGGGAGCTGTTAGTTAGAAGACAGTCAGTTCAGTCACGCAAATGACTACGACTAGATATTGTTAAATAACTGGCGTGTAGTTAAACAGTGACTGGAAGTTGTCGGCGTCGAGGAACGAATTGGCCGGTATCGTCCCGTTCCACACGATCCCACTGAAGGAGGATACCATTCATGGCCACCCAGACGCCGGGAACGGCGGCCTGTACGCCGCCCAGGGCCACCCCAATGTTGAAGTCGGCGTCCGTGTCTCTGATGGCATCCAGTAAGATATTAATTAGAACTGTAAACAGATTAGACCACTAAAATTTAAAATTAAAGTATAATAAATACTATAATTAAGCAGTGTCGTGGCATAATAGTGAATTTTGCCACCGAAGTGGCTAGTTTATTGTGCACTCCATATCCATCCTGTGGACGGTAGCACAAGAGTATGTGGATACACAAAAGGCCTAGGATCTAGGTCCCCAAAAGGGGACCTAGTTCCTACTACTAGGTCATACTACTAGGTCATACTACTAGGTCATACGGTTCATATTAGTAAATTTCAGTGTAAACTCACTTTGAAAAGCTGGTGGAGCAAAACATTGGTAAGAATAGGTTTCCTAACACCTGTTGTCCACGTCCACTTACCAGTAAATTGATACCTAGTAGTTAGTAATCTGTTATTGGTTGCCCTTACTGGTCGCCCTAATCTGTTACTGGAGCCATAACTGGTCGTCCTAATCTGTTACTGGAGCCATAACTGATCGCCCTAATCTGTTACTGGAGCCATAACTGGTCGTCCTAATCTGTTACTGGAGCCATAACCGATCGCCCTAATCTGTTACTGGAGCCATAACTGGTCGTCCTAATCTGTTGTTTGGGCTCTGAGCCCCAACCAAAAAAATTATCTTACTTGGACAATCTTGGGGAGCACTGAACCCGTACGGGTCATACAGCGCCAGGGGGGTAAATGGGAGGTACTCAGACTAAATTAAAGGAATTGAAGCACAGGTCCAATTCTTTGAACCAAGAGCCTCCTCACTAGCATCAGGAAACCTCCCTTGAGAAGTCTTAAGATTAAACAGGCCCGGTGTCTACCTGCTCAAGTCTCCATGTCTACCTTCTACACAACGCCACGAGTACACTGAGAGACAACACAGTAAGTGTCCGGGGATCAAGACTGTTCAACTGCCTCCAGCATACATAAGTGAGATTACCAATAGACCCCTGGCTGTCTTCAGGAAGGCACTGGACAGGCACCTAAAGTCAGTACCTGACCAACCGGGCTGTGGTTCGTACGTCAATTTGCGTGCGGCCAGCAGCAACAGCCTGGTTGATCAGACCTTGATCCACCATGAGGCCTGGTCTCAGACCGAGCCGCGGGGGCATTGACCCCTGAAACCCTCTCTAGGTAAACTACAACGTAAACGTCATGTGAGATCCACCCTGGACTGGGCTCCAGGAGAACATTTGGACTAGAAAATTCTTGAGGAGACCGAAAAGAGTAAAAGCAACTGAATCCCAAGAAACGAACCACGGAATGGGTGGGGGGGTTGAACCCATGGTAAGTGAGTCCCAAAACTTCAGGCCAGTGGGGTTCAAACTCCACCCGTTCCGTGGTTTGTTTGCAGTTGTCTTATTACGATTTCGTGAACAATGTACGCAAAATTGCTGTAAACTAGTGTTCAGAATATCTCTGCAAATTCGGTAATGGCAGTAAGACACTTGAGGAAGTAAACAGTGTTTTGTAATACAGTAGGTGGCCAACACTCATATACCTTCTATTACTAGAGTGGAATGGGCCACCTGATCACCTGAGATCTTGTCTTAGTATAAAAGAATTTAAGAATATCGCTCAATAATGCCTAATGAAAGAAGTGGTAGAGAAGAAGGGTAGTTACTTCTTCTGTTGCTAAAATATTCATTACTGGTTTTATTATCGAACGTGTTAATTTCTGTGTTGATTTACGTTTTTACTATCATTAAGAGCAGAAAACAAGACGGCATTTATTCATGCCTAGGTAAAATAAAAGTGTGTCGCTACATAACACAAAGACCTTACTGGAAATAAGTCCCTTTTTTTGACTTTATTTGGTGATCCTGGTTTAAAATGTTGACGTTTCCAGTTATGTTTGAGGATTAATGAAACGCTTATTAATCTATTAAAGTCTTTATCAATTTTCTCTCATCCAAACATATGATCATTCCGAGAGGCTGCTACCCACAAGTCCATAAACACCTGGGTACCTATCATACTGCTATGTAATAATAAATAATAATTTTATTTCCCACAATTATTACTGGATTCAATCTTATCAGTCCCATCGATCGAACCACCATGCCTAACCTTCTAGGGTAGGGTAGGTGCCTGAGCCCGAGGCCTTTAGCTCATAAGACTGTCATTCCTACTCCTACCTTTTTAATGTAACCCCCCCCCCCCAATCCCCCCCCCCATCTCGCCCCCACCGATCCGGGGAGTGGAATGCACAAAGAAAGTAGGGCGCACTCCGAGATTGTAAAATGGGCTGGCCTGGGGACAGTTGGTCCCAAGATGAGGAGGTACTTGTGGGGGGGGGGGGGGGGGGGCCTTCCCTCCCCAAATTGGGAGGACTTAGGTCTCAGACACTCCCTAAAGGGGAGCCAAGGCCGGGGCCACCACTGGGAAATGGCCCTGGCCGGGAGAATACCGGTAATCCTTTAATAATAATCATAATAAATTCAGACCATACGTATGATCCGATAAAGAAAGCCCCTGGTTATGTTGAGCATTACGGGCAACTTAGGTTAAAATTTGTCCCCCAGCACACATAAGGGGGAATACCAACAGACCCTGGCAAGTCTTCAAGCTGGCACTGGACAAGCACCTAAAGTCTGTTCCGGAATCAGCCGACTGTGGCTCGTACGTTGGTTTGCGTAGCAGCAGCCAGCAGCAACAGCCTGGTTGACCAGGCCTTGCTTCCACCAGGGAGGGCCTGGTCACAGACCGGTCCGCGGGGCGTTGACCCCCGGAACTTCTCCAGGTCCAGGTAAACTCCAGGGATGCAACCCACACCAGTCAGCTTAACACCCAGGTACCTTCTACTGCTAGGGGAAACAGGAACGAGAGTGTCTTAAGGAATCATGCCCAGTCGTTTTGCCATCCGTACCGGTGATCGAACCACGGACACTCAGTATGTGAACTAAGTGCACTACCAACCGAGCTAGTAAAAAACTAATGGGCTGTGGTGGGTTAGGGAACTTGTGTATATGTCAAGTAAATATTCATAATGTTATATTTTGTTGTGTTGTTACAGAATGCTATTTATAATTGATGTTATTATTAATTATCATATCTTGGGGGGAGCGTCAACCGTAGAAATTATACAATCGCCTGTTGAGGGGCATTTAAGGTATTCAGCCTCAATCTAGGGAACAGATCCAGTTCCTTAGGTCAAGCGCCTCTCACTGCGTCAAGGGACCTTCCATTGCGGGAGTTAATTTCTGTTAGAGTTTGTCATAAGGCGAGTCGTGATATACTCAAAGCCGAACCCACATGTTTAAGAGGTGCCAACGAAATGTTCACAAATGGAGCTAAGGCTCAGCCAGGACTGCAAGCAAGACATGAAGGGGTTTGACACCCCTCATGGAAGTTCTTGATGTTGGGGAGGGGCTCTTGAATTTTGGGAATTGGCATCTGTGCTCCAGTTCCCGAATTAAGCCTGAATGCCTTCACGATCCTCCTCCCTCTGGGCGCTGTATAATCCTACGAGCTAGTTAGCGCTTCCTCCCTTGATTATAATAATAATAATAATAATCAAATAATAATAATAATATAATAATAATAATAATAATAATAATAATAAAAACAAAAAAAATGACATTATTATCCACTAGAGTAATAATATTATTATAAAAACAGTGTGTCCTCGTCTAAAACATCTTTAAAAAATCACATAGTTTGAGATAAACATGATTCTTAAAATTTTAAACCAGGCAAACCTTTTCTGATAAAAATGGGCTCTTGAAAGGAAAATGAAGCCAAGAGCATATAATAGATAGAAAAATATGAAAACATCTGAAAGTTAGCCATGAAAGGCAACATTTTCTTTGTTGTTACGCAAAATAAACAATGGTTTCTTAAAGTATACTTAATTTACTTTCAATTACGTTTCCTTTTATTCCAAACCTTCCTCAATATTAATAATAATTAAATAATAATTATTAGAATAATAATAAATAATAATAATCGAAGTTAAAGAAGAAGTCAATTAGGATCAATAAATAAATTAATAATTAATAAATAGATAAATACTAAATAACAAATAAATAAATACCCAAAACAGTACTGCCCGACACCCAGTTGTAGCATTCTCACACTGTAAATTTACTTTTATCAAATCACAATGTTATATTCCCATAATATAAATTGAAACTATTGTCCATTATCGACAGGAATATAATTGAATCATATTTTCGAAAATAATATGAATATTTCCTTTGATTTATATAAATTAGATTAATTTATAATTAATAGAACTATTGTACAACTTAAACTATGGTAAAATTCTTTAATATTAAGCAGTCTGTAAGCCAATAAAGGAAAGACCCGGGCCAGGAGAATACCGGCGAAAAAAAAAAAAACAATAAATTAAGTCTGTCTATAATGCCTAGGCATGATAAAGGCTCTCTTTGCACTGCAACTCATTATTGTAAATATATAATCTCAATGTACTACTTGCAAAGAAATAAAATTTGATTTGATTCATCGACACTATGCCTAACCCTTCTAGGGTAGGGTAGATGCCTGAGCCCGAGCCTTTAGCTCATAAGACTGTCAATCCCATTTGCCCCCTTGGGGCGGGGATGGCAGACCAGAGAGGCCTAGCTTGTGGCTAGGCCTGGTGACAGTTGGTCCCAAAGATGAGGAGGTACTTGTATCTCCTCCCATGGGAGACTTAGGTCTCAGACACTCCCTAAAGAGGGAGCCAAGGCCGGGCCACCACTTGGAAAAGGCCCGGGCCGGGAGAATACCGGCGAATCTTTAATAATAATAATAATAATAAATTTGATTAATGCCGGAGGGATGGTAACTAGAGATGACAGGATGGCAAACTGGCAGAAATCTTTCATGGTATATAAAATTAGCAAAAAGACGTGAATAAAAAAAGATGACAGTCGCGAGGGGAGTAAGAACTGCTGTAATCGCACAATATTCTGCAGTGGGGTAAGAGTAACACCCTGGGGAGTGACACCCTGGGGTACTGAAGCCCAGGGGCAGTGACACCCAGGGGTAGTGACACCCAGGGATAGTGATACCCAGGGGTAGTGACACCCACGGGTAGTGACGCCCAGGGGTAGTGACACCCACGGGTAGTGATACCCACGGGTAGTGACACCCAGGGTAGTGACACCCAGGAGTAGTGACACCCAGGGGTAGTGATACCCAAGGGTAGTGACACCCCCGGGTAGTGACACCCAGGGTAGTGACACCCACGGGTAGTGACACCCACGGGTAGTGACACCCACGGGTAGTGACACCCACGGTAGTGACACCCAGGGATAGTGACACCCTGGGGTAGTGACACCCAGGGGGAGTGACACCCAGGAGGAGTAAGGAACCACAACCAGCATACTTTCAAAAGCGTCTATGTCATTCTTAGACCCGGGTCCATAAGAACGCATAGTTCAGGATGAACTACAAAAGCTGGAAATTGTTCACTTGAACTGAAATTCAACCATACAAGTAAAATTACTAACAACCGGTGTCCAGATTATCATTTTAGGCAACTTTTATCAATGTTAGGGATCAAAGCCAATATGGTACCAGGAGAATGTGAGCACAATTTAGTATTACCTACAGTACATAACCAAGATTTATAGTACACAGTGATAAAGGATTGGAATGAGCTGTTTGATCATATCAAGGACAGTGTTAGTATAAACCAGTTGAAAAACAAAACGAAAAAGTACCTGATGACTAGAGATACAGATATAAGAGAGGAAAGTGATTTCATGTAATCAGATAAATGTAAGTGTAGGAGATAAGTGTATGCAACTAAGTGGGTGTTTTTTTTTTGTTATAATGCTCAGGCCGTAGGTTGTGTTTGGGTTTTGCTTTGCGCTTATGTGGGCCCAGGTAAGTTTGAATGGGGCTGTGAGTGTGGTGGAGATACAGAAATATTAGTGTATTTACCAGCCGGCTGGAAGGCAGAAGGGGAGTGTCGTTCACTGGCGCCATTAATAATGTTAAATTTTCCTATGACCTATCTTTAATCACCTAGTAACAGTATACTAATGTCTTACTTATATTCTGTGGATAATGTGTTGAAGGCGGGTTTGTGTTGTATATACTGGTTTGTATGTTTATTTTTCTACAGGACAGCTTAATTGACTTTCTTTAAAGATCAAACCTAAAGTGATTAGTAAACAAACGTTGACTATCTTTTTTAATTTTTTTTCTGTAAGCTGAAGTGGGACCAAGTAAACCAAGTCCTAACCGATATAAGCTGGGAAGATATACTAAGGGGCAACCAGCCCCCAATTTAAATCCCTAGAACAGTTTAAACCCTTGGGTGGCACTCGATGTATCCCCAAAAGGACTTTTTCCTTTTAAAAAAAAAGGAGGAGTAGAAAAAAAATTTGAAAGAGCCCAGGGGGCTCTCTTTACGGGGCGAGGGGGAAAGAATAACGGGGCGGTTTAAAAGGGGTTTCCAATCTGTCTGAAATGCTTTTAGGGGGAACACTGGTAAGAGAAATAGCAAAATCGAACTTAAGCTAAAGGAATCTTTTTTGGAGCCCAAGGAATCGCGGGAAGAACTAAAAGCCAAAAATGAAATCGAAAAAAAACCCCAAAAAGTATTTTTCTCCTTTCCCCAAATAAAAGCCCGAGAAAAAGTCCGTTTTGGCCCTTACTTAAAAAAGGGATGGGTCCTACACAGATGACAGAAAAAAAAATGAGTGAGCTACTAAAAGCCCCAAAATATGACTCGGGTTTTCAGCAACCCAAACAACCGGGACTGAGAGTAAAGAAAAAATGAATTTTTATGAGGGGCCACAAAATTTTGGGTTTTTAACACAATATTGATTTATCCTGACGCCAAATGACTTTTTAACAGGCGATAAAATGAAAATGCCCATGCACTCTGCCCCCCGGGCCAGACTCATGGAAATCCGTGTTCAACAAGGGAAATGCAAGAAGCCCCTATCACGGCCTTTTCCCCTTTCCCTTTTGGGGAGGGAGCCCGGGGCAAAGGGGGTCGTCCCCCGTTGCTAAAAAACAAAAGACATAGCCCCCCCTCCACAAAGGGGGGCAGTAAAGCAAAAAGCAAAGGGTACAACCGAGGGACTAACATCCCCTATCATAAAAATATTGAAAGAGTCCTAAGAAAACAAGTTTACCAACCCCTCAAAAAACCCCCATTTCACAACCCAGGGGAACATGGGTTTAGAACAGGTCGCTCCTGTCTGTCTCAACTATTGGATCACTACGACAAGGTCCTAGATGCACTAGAAGACAAAAAGAATGCAGATGTAATATATACAGACTTTGCAAAAGCCTTCGACGAGTGTGACCATGGCGTAATAGCGCACAAAATGCGTGCTAAAGGAATAACAGGAAAAGTCGGTCGATGGATCTATAATTTCCTCACTAACAGAACACAGAGAGTAGTAGTCAACAGAGTAAAGTCCGAGGCAGGCACGGCGAAAAGCTCTGTTCCACAAGGCACAGTACTCGCTCCCATCTTGTTCCTCATCCTCATATCTGACATAGACAAGGATGTCAGCCACAGCACCGTGTCTACCTTTGCAGATGACACCCGAATCTGCATGACAGTGTCTTCCATTGCAGACACTGCAAGGTTCCAGGCGGACATCAACCAAATCTTTCAGTGGGCTGCAGAAAACAATATGAAGTTCAACGATGAGAAATTTCAATTACTCAGATATGGTAAACACGAGGAAATTAAATCTTCATCAGAGTACAAAACAAATTCTGGCCACAAAATAGAGCGAAACACCAACGTCAAAGACCTGGGAGTGATCATGTCGGAGGATCTCACCTTCAAGGACCATAACATTGTATCGATCGCATCTCCTAGAAAAATGACAGGATGGATAATGAGAACCTTCAAAACGAGGGATGCCAAGCCCATGATGACACTCTTCAGGTCACTTGTTCTATCTAGGCTGGAATATTGCTGGACACTAACAGCACCTTTCAAGGCAGGTGAAATTGCTGACCTAGAAAATGTACAGAGAGCCTTCACGGCGCGCATAACGGAGATAAAACACCTCAATTACTGGGAGCGCTTGGGGTTCCTGAACCTGTATTCCCTGGAACGCAGGAGGGAGAGATACATGATTATATACACCTGGAAATCTAGAGGGACTAGTACCGAACTTGCACACGAAAATCACTCACTACGAAAGCAAAAGACTTGGCGGACGATGCAACATCCCCCCAATGAAAAGCAGGGGTGTCACTAGCACGTTAAGAGACCATACAATAAGTGTCAGGGGCCCGAGACTGTTCAACTTCCTCCCAGCATACATAAGGGGGATTACCAACAGACCCCTGGCAGTCTTCAAGCTGGCACTGGACAAGCACCAAAAGTCGGTTCCTGATCAGCCGGGCTGTGGCTCGTACGTTGGTTTGCGTGCAGCCAGCAGTAACAGCTTGGTTGATCAGGCTCTGATCCACCAGGAGGCCTGGTCACAGACCGGGCCGCGGGGGCGTTGACCCCCGGAACTCTCTCCATGTAAACTCCAGGTAAGAGTGTGTGGTCTTGGGATGGTTTATTAATAATTTTTAATTTACACCTAGACCAGTATTTTACCCCCTGGGTCCCCGTAACTTTATAACAATCATATACTAGTTTTTAAGATCTCTGGTGCTCACCTGAATTTCTCCGGAGTGTGGGCTCCTGTGAAGACCACTGTCTTAGTGTTGACACCTCGCTGACGGAGACTGTTGGCCAGATAGGTGGAGGTCTGCAGGAGTGTGTCAGTACCGTGTGTCACCACTATTTTACACTGTCCAGCATTACTCACTCGCTCCACCAATGCTTCTCTGAAATATACACATGTACGTAGATAATATAATGTATGTGTACATGTTTGTGTGTGCTCACGTCCCATAACGCTTGACGGCTACCTCTTCAATACATGAAAATACAATCATCAGTATACTTTAATAAGCACTTACAACACTTGTCAACCCACAGTGGTACATTAAACGCTGAAGAAGTAAGTTTATTCAGGTATACATAAATACAGTTACATAGATTATCATACATAGCAGCTTATGTGTAGAGAACCTGGGATAACCCAAAAAAGTCAGGCAGAGTGACTTTGCTCTTCTTGATACAAAAAAGGGAATCACAGATAGGAAATCACAGAATGGTAAACACAATTAGTAAATCACAAATAGGCAAATCACCTGTCATCGTCGGTGACATCCTGACTGTCTTTCCTGCAGATGGTGTCATACGTTGTGATGACAGATCTGGCTGGCCGGAGCCTCGCCAGTACCCGCCTCACAGCTGGCTCTCCCACCTCAAAGTAGAAGCCGCCTTTGGTCTTCGGATAGTCCTTATCGATGGTTCCTGAAAACGCGCGGCTCAGAAAATACTATACATGTATATATATATATATATATATATATATATATATATATATATATATATATATATATATATAAATATATATAATATATATATATATATATATATATATAAATATATATATATATATATATATATATATATATATATATATATATATATATATATATATATATATATATATATATATATATATACAGTGGTCCCTCGTTGTTCGTAATTAATCCGTTCCTGGAGCCGTTACTATAAACAAAATTTACGATTTACGAATCAATTTTCCCCATAAGAAATAATGTAAATACAATTAATCCGTTCTGACACCCAGAAGTATTAAAACAAAAATTTTTTAACATGAAATATGCATGCAGTACATAAACAATACAATGGGAAATGATGAATGAAACATTAACAGCATAACACTTACCTTTATTGGAGATTCTTCTTAGTGTATGGGAGACTGGAGGAGGAGAGAGAGTGGATTGTTTATAGTTTGGAAGGGGAATCCCCTTCCATCAACACCTCAGGTACCATTTGCTTTTCTGGGGTTGCTTCTCTTCTCTGTTTCTTAATGCCACTAGGACCACCTTGAGAGTCACTGGAGTCCTGTCTCGCAAAATAACTGTGGAGAGAGCTCTGTTTCTGGCGTCTCTTTAACACTTCCCTAAAATGGCCCAAGACTTTGTCACTGTACATGTTGCCAACCTGGCTTGCAACAACCTTGTTAGGGTGATGTTTCTCCATAAAGCTTTCCATCTTACCCCACATAGCAAAAATATCTTTAATTTCTGAAGAAGGCACCTTCTTCCATCTCTCTTCCTCCTCCTCTGCAGCAAAATTCTGAGCTGCGATGTGTTGCTCTTCCTGCTGAAGCTCTTGCAGCTCCTTAGTGGTGAGCTCTTCATTGTGGTCTTCCACCAATTCTTCCACATCCTCCAAACTTACATCCAACCCCATGGAACTCCCCAGTGCCACAATTGATTTTACAACAGACATAGGCTCATTAGGGTCAGTCCCAAATTCTCCAAAATCCCTCTTGTCGACACAATCTGGCCACAATTTTCTCAAGGCAGAGTTCAAAGTCCTGGTAGTCACTCCCTCCCAAGCCATACCTATAAGGGTTATGCAGTGGAAGATGCTGAAGTGTTCTCTCCAAAACTCCCTTAGGGCCAAGTGAGTGTCTGTGGTCACAGTCAAGCACCTGTGAAACATTGCAATAACCTGCTGGTCTATGGGTTGGAGGAGAGGAGTGGTATTCGGGGGCAAGAACTTTACTGTGATGAACCCAAGCTCCTCAAAAATTAGGTCATCCAAGTTTGGAGGATGAGCAGGTGCATTGTCCATTACTAGCAGGCACTTGAGATCCAATTTCTTTTCCAGGAGATACTCCTTCACACTAGGGCCAAACACTTCATTGAACCACTCGACGAAAATTTCCCTCGTGACCCATGCCTTACTATTAGATTTCCAAAACACACAATTTATATATATATATTTATATATATATATATATATATATATATATATATATATAATATATTATATTATATATATATACTTATATATATAATATATTATATATATATATCTATATATATTATATATATATATATATAATATATTAATATATATAATATATATATATATAATATATTAATATATATAATATATATTTATCATATATATTATATATATATATATATATATACATACACAACACACACTACATATATATATATTATATATATATTATATATATATATATAATTATATATATAAATATTATACATATATATATATATGCATACATATTATGGTACCCACGAACATGTGGTATTGATCAATAACAACACTGCGGCTAGCCAAGAAGTCGAACCCATGCTGCTTTGGCCTGCCTCATGGTGGGCGAAAACTCATGACTCCTTAATCCACGGGACCACACATTCCTTAAGAGTAGGGCATCCAGCGGAACTGGATGTTGTACTCCCTATCCAAGGACACACGATGGTGTGGATGACTCTAGGCTAATTTCATTCTAGTCTCTGTTTGGTGTACTAGTTCAACGAGTAGTATTTTATATTATTGTGACCACGAACGAGTGGTATTGGTCAATAACAACACTGCAATAACCAAGGATTCGAACCCATGCTGCTTTGGCCTGCCTCATGGTGAGCGAAAAAGCATGACGCCCTAAACGCATGACTAGAATGATATTAGCCATTGTGTGTCTTTGGGTAGGGAGTACAACATTATATATATTATAATTTAAAAATATATATATATAAAATATATATTATTATATTATATATATTTATATAAAATTTATAATATAATATTTATATATATATATTAAATTAAATATATATATAATATATATATATAATAATATGTTGTGAGGGTGAGAGAAGAATTTTGGGGTAAATTGGATTGGTGTGGTGTGTGTGTGTGTGTGTGTTGTGTGGTGTGGTGTGCGTGTGGTTGTATGGTGTACCACCTAATTATATAATATATATTTAAAAATAATATATATATATATATAAATATATATATAATATATATTTTATAAATTAGGTAGTACCACACACACACACACACACACACACCACACACACATGCCCCCTTTTTCGCCAATTCTTCTCTCACCCCCAACTTCACTTCGTGTCTTCCACACCCCGTGGGCGCCTCACTCCCCCCTAACCTGTCCCAAACCCCACTACTTTACCTTCTCTCTCACCATTAATCTTCCCCTTTTTTTAAAACCCTTTCCCCTACACTGCTTAATCTTCCTCTGTTCATTCTTAACCTTTTCTAACCCGCCTCCTTCCCCCATAACCTGCCTCCCTTCCATTTAACCTGCCTCCCTCCCACATAACCTGCCTCCCTCCCATTTAACCTGCCTTCCTCCCACATAATCTGCCTCCCTCATCCACTCACCTCCCATCTGGAGAATAAGGATCTCATCCATAGTGAAGACAGAAGCCTCTATCCTGGTGTAATCTCACGTCCTCTGGTGGTGAAGCTGCAGGAAGATGCCAGATTTGCTTTTGGAGCGCCTGCAGGAGAAACAGAAGGTCCTGTAGAAGCAGGAAAACAGGCAGGAATAACAGGACTTGCAGTAGTAGTAGTAGGATTTGTAGGAGGAACAGAAGGAACCGAAATATCTGCAACAGGAACATAAAAGCCTGTTGGAGAAACAGGACTCGGGAGGAACAGGAGGACATGTGGGAACAGAAGAACGTGCAAGAGGAACAGCAAAATAGCCAAGGACTTACCAAAACAGTAAAGAAGCCAGAAGAACAACACAGGATCCAGAAGGACAGCACAGGACTCAGCGAAGCAGCAGCACAGGAGACAGACACCAGCACCTGCCACCTAGGGTGGATAGGAATGACTGGGGACAAATGATTGAGCGCTGCTCTACCGCACTCACGCTCCGGCTCACCGAATTCGTCTCACTTATCTCCTCATATCATCTGCTTAACGCTGATAGCAAGATAACCAGCCAGACACATAGTACTTAAGAGGGGTAGATAGGCTAACACACAATAGCTTAACGGAGGTACCAAGCCTATCTATGGAAATAGCTAGTCAGCCGCACCTTGTGTAATAAAGATTGCCAGTTGGCCACACCATGTTTAATAAAGACAGCCACACCTTGCATAACGCAGTATGTGATTCAGTGGTATACGTCCGCTCTTAACTCTAAGACTAGTCTTGTTGCATACTTTTGTGCTATTATTACCTACTAGTAGCCACAGGAGCAAAGTTATACTCGTGTGAGTAGCAGTAGTAATAGTAGTAGTTATTAGTTGCCAAAGGCACTTGTCGAGGGGCGCTTTTCCTCTGTGGTCTGTGAGTTAGTTAGTTAGTTAGTGTGTGTGTGTGTGTGTGTGTGTGTGTGTGGTGTGTGTGTGTGTGTGTGTGTGTGTGTGTGTGTGTGTGTGTGGTGTGTGGTGATGTGTGTGTGTGTCTGTTGTTTGTGTGTTGGTGTTTGTGTCTGTGGTGTGTGGGGGTGTGTTGTTATGTGTGTGTACCACTTATTTGTATCCCCTTTTTGTGGTTGCAGGGGTGAGTTTGTCGGGCCCCCGCTCTTCCCGGGTTTTCTACTGGGCCTCTCTCTCCCGTCCATGGGTTTATAAACCTCGTCTTAAAACTGTGTTGGTTCCTCCCTCCACTACGTCATTTTCTAGGCTTTTCCCCACTGCCTTAAAACTCTATGACTGAAGAAATATTCCTACTACTCTCTGACTCATTTGTGTTTTTCAACTTCCAATTGTGGCCTCTTGTTTCTGTGTCCCCCCCCGGGAACTCCTGTCTTTGCCCCCTTGTCTTTTCCCCGCGTTTTTTTATATGCGTTATCATGTCTCCCTGACCCCTTTTCCCCCCAGTGTCGTCAGGCCGTTTCCTTAACTTTTTCATAGGACTTCCCTTAGTCGGGAACTCCTTGTCGCAACCTTTGTACTTTCTCTATTTTCTTGACGTGCTTTATCAAGTGGGGGGCCAAACAGGTGCGCATATCCAGTATGGGCCTGACTTCAGGTGTACAGTGTTTGAATGATTCCTTATAAGGTATGGGAATGCTGTTCTCAGGTTTCCCAGGCGCCATATGCTGCAGCAGTTATTGATTGATGTGTGCTTCGGAGCTGTCGGTTTTTATATCACCCAAGTTTTCTCCTTGAGTGGGGTTTTGCGTTTTGGCCACCTGCCTATTCTGTCTGTGGTCTTCTGTGCCCCCCCCTATCTTCATGATTTTGCATTTGGAGGATTAAAATTTGAGAACCCATTTGCTGGACCAGGGTCCGTTGCCCAGGTCTTTTTGAAGTCCTGCCTGGTCCATCAGATTTAATTCTCCTCATTAATTTCACATCATCTGAAAAAGCCTTTTCGAGTCAAACCTTCCGTTTTGGTGTTTGTGTGTGTGGGGTTTTTGGGGGTGTGTGTGTTTGTGGTGTGTGTGTCCCCCCCCCGGTGTGTGTGTGTGTGTGTACTGTTGTACTCACTTAGTTGAGGTTGCAGGGTCGAGTCCGAGCCCCTGGCCCCGCCTTTCATGATCGCTATGGTCACTCCCCCGACCCGTGGTTTTCATACTCGTTAAAGCTTGATGGTTCCTGCCCCCACTACATCGTTTCCAAACTATTCCACTTACTGACTATCTTGGCTAAAAAAAAATACTTCTAACACCCCTGTGATTTCTGTGTCTTTCAGCTTCCAACTGTGTCCCTTTTACTGTGTCCAATTCTGGAACATCCTGTCTTTGTCCCCCTTGCAATTCCTCTCAGTTTTTTTGTATGTTTATCATGTCCCCCCTATCCTCCGTCCCCCAGTGCGTCGGTTTGAATTCCCTTAACCCTCCCCGTAGGAATACCTTTATTTGGGGATGTTTTGTTGCAAACCTTTGCACTTTCCTGTTTCTTTACGTGTTGGCTAGGTGTGGGCCCCAAACTGGTCCCGCATACCCCAATTGGGGCCCCTAAGTACCGGTGTACAGGGTCTGTGACCCTTATTAGAGTGGGATGCTGTTCTGGGTTTGCTAGGGCCAAATGCTGCAGCAGTTTTTGGTTGTGTGCGCTTCAGGAGATGTGCCCCGGTGTTTACTCACCCCCAAAATCTTTTTTGAGTGAGGTTTTTAGTCTCTGGCCCCCCAGATGTACTCGTCTGCGGTTTTCTGCCCTTCCCCCAAACTTCTGACTTTGCACTTGGGGGTTGAATCCCGGGGCCCAAGCTGGACCCGGTCTGCGCCCGTCCAGATCCCTTTGTAGTTCTGCCTGGTCTTCGATGAGTGAATTCTTCTCATCAACTTCACGTCATCTGCAAACAGGGACACCTCAGAGTTATCCTTCCGTCATGTCGTTTAAAAAACGAAACAGCATGGTCCCGGGGGACCCCCGGGGACCCCGCTGGTAAGGGGCCCACTCTGACACCTCGCCCCGTACCATGATCGCTGCTGTTTCCGACAAGTATTCCGATCCCCGTAGTGCCTTCCCCGTTATCCCCGCTTGGTTCTCCAGTTTTTTGCACTATCTCTTGTGTGGAAAATGTGTCCAACCCTTCTTGCACCAAAAAATCAAACCACCCACCCCTCTCTTCTTGTTTACTGCTGTCCCGCTAGAACCCCGGGGGTTTGTGACACAGGATTTCCCGCCCCGAAACCATGTTGTGCTGTTGATGAGATCGTTCCTTTTAGGGATTCCACCACGTTCTCCTGATTCTTTCCTGATTTTACTATAACTGTCAGTACAGGTCTGTAGTTTTAATGCTTCATGTCTGTCTCCTTTTTTAAAAATTGGGACTACATTTTCTGTTTCCATGCCTCAGGCATTCTCCTTTTCGATAGATGTATTGAAATTGTTTTTAGGGGGGACACATAGCGCCCCCTTTCTCCCCTTTTCATACCATGGGGAGATGTTTTGGCCCCCCTTTCCTTTGGGTATTAGCTCATAGAAGCCCCTTTTACTTTTTCCCTTTGGGTTTTGTGCCCGTGTCCCGCACATGGTGGGTGCCCCCCCTCTCCCTCTTTTGGGTCCTTCGTTCCCCTGTGAACACTTCTTTTAATTCTTGTTGAGTTCCCCCACTACTTTACGGGCATTTCTGTTGTCTCTCCTCCCTTCCCTTCCCTTTCCTTTCCCGATTACCCGGTCCTTGATGTTGTTTTCCCCCTGATGTGGGGTGTACAACGTTTGGGTAGATTTGGCTTTTGCTGCTTGTGTTTTCATTTGCTTTGGGCCCCCCTTCTTTTGTACTATTCGTTTTGGTTACGACTGCTCTCCTTATTTTCCCGGGTCCTTTTCCTTTATATTTTTCCCTTCCCCGCACATTGGTTTTTTCCTCCCCGCACCGTTGGGTAAACCATGGGTCATCCCGGCTTTTTCTTATTCCCGTTACCCCTTTGGGGACAAAACCCCCTTCCCCAGCCTTCTTCATTTTGTTGCAAAAATATTCCATATCTCTTAATGGTTCCCGCCAGGGTTTTTCTGTCCCCCTGAACCCCCTTGGAATTTTTTATTCCCGGTAGTCCCCTTTCTTGTAGTTTGGTTTCATTGTCTGGCCTTCTGCTTCTCCCTCCACTTGTAGTCTACTGTGTATTAGAAGCTTAAAACCACATGGTCACTGGCCCCAAGGGGTCTTTCATTTGTGATGTCCTCGACATCTGCATATCAAGGTGAATACTAAGTCCAGCCCGCTTGTTCCCTTCCCCTTTCTTGTAGTGTCCCTTACGTTTGGACATGAAGTTTTCCAGTACCCCCCCATCATTTAGCCCTCTGTATTTTGGCCCCCATTTGGGTCCAAGTTTCCCAATCGATCTCCTTGTTTTTAAAGTCCCCCATGATAGGAGCTTTGCCCCGCAGGGATGATTTTGGCCACTCAGCCCGGTGTCAACCCTCGCCTATTGCTTCGTGTATTTGCCCTTTGGCCCCCTGCTGTTTGTGGTGGGGTTTTAATCATGCTATTTACTTGGGGGCCTCAGAGTGAAACGTTCCCTATGTAATCACTTTCTTTCTTTCTGTCCCCTTCCGCTCATCAAAAATTTCCCGCGATTTTTGTCACAAAGCCATCCTCCACCCCCCCGTTCCCCCTGTTTTCTCAGGATTTGGTATCCCGTTGGAAAATGGCATCTGTTATCATACTGAAATTGGTTTTGTGGGGGCAGATGTCGGTGGGGCGCTTCTTTGACTCTTTCATGGGCCCCTCCCCCCATTATTTTTTATTCCCTCAGGGGTTTGTGTACATACCTTCGTTTCCCTTTCCCCCGTGGTTTGGGGGGGCCCGTGGGGTGGGGGACCCTTTGGATACTGTGGGATTCTATGGTCGGTGTTGGGGGGAGGCTGTGGGGATGGATTGTAGGTGTGTTGGGATGGGGTGATGGTTGTAGGTTTTTGGAATATTTGTGTGTGTGTTTGGGCCCTTTTGCTGTTCGGGTTCTGCCCCTTGCTGTTCTCTGTGGTTCCACCCTTGTCTTTTTTCCTAGCTCCTTTCGTTTTTTTTTGTCCTCTCCCTCAGCTGTTTGTCGTTCATTTTGTTTGTCTCTGTCTGGGGAACCCCCTCTTGTACTCTTCCGAGTATTTAAATCTTTGGTTTTTTTTAGGGGATCCGGGTTCCGAATTTTTCCCGGGTTTGAAAAATCGGGTTGATTGGTCGGTTTCTCCCTTCGAGTACCCCCTATTCTTGAAAAATTTACAATCTGTCCATTTCTTCACCTAAATTTTCCGGTGATGTTTTTCTCAATCTCCTTTTTTCTTCCCGTGGGCCCTTTCCCGTGTGTTCCCTTTTCCCCCTCTCCTGAAACCCCTGGAAAAAACCTGATTTTGCCCCTTTTATCCTCCCCTGCCTTTACCCTTTTGTGATGGATCCCGCCTGTATTGGTCAGTTTCTCCCCTTTATTTTTTTAAATGGCCCTTTATGCAGGTTTTTGCCTCAGCATTTTTGACCTTTT